CAGTAAAAGCATTAAATATATATTTTAACCCTAAAATATCCTGAATCATTTTACAAAAGTAATTTATTCAATAAATAAATGGACAGAGAGCATAACCCCCACAATGTTAGACCTAAAGTTATGCCCTTGCTGAGAGACCATGGTAAATGATGCTGAACTGATGCACACTAGACACTGAGGTAAGCAGCACTGGAGCACCAAAGGAGATTGTACTCTCTCCTGTCTTAGATTCTGCACCTCTRACTTCCAGTAAAATCCTACATTTTGTAAATCTCTGACTTCTACTYCAAATTTTAACTCTGCACATCTCTAGTAAAAATCATGGTTCTGAACAACTTTGATTTCCAGTTAAAGTCTAGACTCGGTACTCCTCTACTTTGAACTCCTCTAACATCCAGTGAAAATCTGGATTCTGTTCACATTGGACTTTTAATAGAACTCTATGCTTTGTCATGTCCAAAGGTATCTGCATTTTACTGCATCGTTTGTTTTCAAGTTAAGCAGGAGGGGAAATACAGGAGCCTAGTGGAGGACCTTTTGAGGTGATACCGATTTAAAGGGAACAGTGGTAGTGTTGTAGTCAAGACCACCTAATCCGAGACCAAGTCAAGACCAAGACAAGGCCAAGACCTTAAACCAGTGGTGTCCAAATTCGGTCTTCAAGGACCGGTGTCCAGCATTTTTTTGGAGCTGCCCTGGTTCAACACAGCTGAACCTGAGGAGTGCTTAATTAGCAGGCCTCTGCAGACCTTGATGGTATACTGAGGAGACCTACTAATTAAGCGTTACTTAGTGTTGAACCAGGGCAGCTCCAAAAAATATGCAGGACACCGGCCTTCGAGGACCGACTTTGGACACCACTGCWTTAAACGAYTGGACAAAGTCGAGTCCAAGACCRAGSGGAAAAAAAACGAAAACTAGTGCCCTAAAATATACAGTATACTGGAGAGAGGTAGCTAACGTTATAGCCAATATTGACTAAATATGTTTGTGTGAGGTCCAGTAAAGAATTTTGGCACAGAGGTAGATGGCTAACATTAGCTAGTTAACTATGCTAACATACTTACACATAGCTGACCGTTCTTTGTGCTTCCTTTCTAGGTGACGGTAAAAGTCTGATGTAGTCCAAACTGTGTCTGAAAGCTGCAGATTTTACAAGTTGCTGTACGCTTTCTTCTGGATGTTGTTTAACAAATATATTCTTTATAATTTATGTAGCTGAATTGTTTCATGGAAGATTTTGCAGATATTTTCTCCTGCTGCCAGACAACGACTGCTTACTTTCTTGAAGGTGTGTGAGTAAAAGGATGTGTGCGCGTGTGACAGACTGTCAGCAATAAGAAAAATACAGAATTGTCAGTCACGCTTGGATTTGAATCAGAACATTAATGAAAGTAAAGATGTTAACAAAGAAAATGAACAATATTTTGACTATTTAGTGTTATTTCCACAGTTGTAGTCTTGACTGGTCTTGAAATAAAATCCTGAGCTCTCAATGTCTGAGACCAAGACAAGACCGAGTACAAATGCAGTGAAGTCTGAGACAAGACCATCAAGACAAGAGGGGTCTGAGATCAAAACTATGAAAGCTCCTGTAGCTACAGTAGCTACTGTAGCTCCAGTTTATGTCTGCAATGCTAATACTTTGCTTTCAAGGCTGAAGACTTTACCTTTTGATACATCTTAGAGACAAACAAGACCAACAACCATCCACTCTCTAACACCTAGAGACAATTTAGAGTTACCAATTACTTTAACATGCATATTTTTGGTCTGTGCGAGGAAACCAAAGAACCCAGAAAAACCCACATGTGCACAGGGAGAACATGCAAAATACACACAGAGATGCTCCAGGCCAGGACGCAATCCTGCTACCTTCTCACTGAGAAGCTCTAACTTCATAAACCACTGGATGTATTTCATTAAAAACAAAACTCTACAGATGATTCCTTTTGAAGTMAACTGAATTCAAGATGGACACCAAAACATTACTCCTCCCAAAGATGACTAGAATTCATTCAATTTGACAAATATTGAGCTGAACGTAACAACACACTCTGAGCTTGACACTTTGTTTGAGATTGAACCTGACGTTATTTTGAACATTTGACCAACATTTGACAACTCGATTATCTCTCAACCAAGATGATTTTTGCAATATACATCCCTTTATTGAAAGCYAGGCATGTCRTTTGTTTTTAATTAGCTGCGYGCCTTCTGAGTTTTTCACAACTTGAATCTTTCCAAACCACCTTTATCTTCTTTGCCACYCACTACTCCTCATTCCTACCGTTGCTTGGAGCAGCCATGCCTGCTGTCATGGATACAGCRTGTTGAATGGTGGAACCGGGACCTGGATATCCACGGTAGCCGTAGCTGAGGCTGGAGCGGTTGATGTGGAGTTGTGTGTCCTGGGAGGAGAAAGCCGAGGTAGCCAGGGAGTAGGCAGAGTGAGCAAGGGACACCGGCTCCCTTAGTGCACCACCACTGCTGGACAACTTCTCCAGTGAGACCTGCTCATCCTGCAGAGGGAAAGAGAACACAAACAACAGGAAGGTATCTGGAATTAACAGGAAGTTACAAGCCAATTGACAACAAAAGTAATTTCAGGGCACTGTACAAATATATTCAAATACAGTACAAATCTGTCAAATGTATCATCTAAGAACACCAGTAGATTGTATTAGAAATTCATTTCAATCTYATTTTAAACAAGCACATCGGTGACAGTGAAAAGGAATGACTCCCTTGTTACCCTAGCTGTTGTTGAAATAAGAGGCCTCATTGGCTCATTTTGACCTAGAGTAAAGGCAGCAGCAGGAGTGTCAACAGAAAGTAACTAGAAGAACCAGGCTTAGGTTGGTCAGTCATCTGCCTCGGCTTGTTGGGTTTGAGAAGACAGGAAACAGACAGACAAACTGGGGGGACGTTTTTATGGGAAGAAAAACAAAGAAAACCACAGGTAGCAATGGCATTGAATAGAAGAAATCTTTGCATGTATAAAAATAGAGTAGAGCAGGGCTATTCAACTGGCGGCCTGCGGGCCACATCCGGCCTGTGCGTGACCAAAGTTCAGCCCACCAATTGGTTCATTTATCTCTTTAGCTCAAACCCCCGGTTTTCTGCTTTAATTACTCTAAGCTGTTTTAGTTAAACATAGAAATGTGTGGTATCTACAGAAATGTCATAATCTTGGCTACAAGCTGATAAAAATATTTTAATGAACACCCAAGATAGTTAAAACTACAAAAGTGAAACTATGAAAGTGAAAATAAAATTGGTTTAAAATTTTGGCAAGTCAGAGATGTCAAAATAATATTAGTGGTAAATAAGAGGCATAAAGTGTTCTTTTTGTTTTTGTTGTTGTTTTATTATCACTACTTTTATTACATTGTTGTGATTGGTGTCTTTGTTAATGTTTTGTTCCAGTTTTCTGTCTTGTCATCTGTTTTCTTCCTCCTGTCTGCCTGTGCTCCGGCCCCGCCCACTCACACCTGATCCTCATGTCTCTTCCCCAGGTGTTTCTTGTTTTAGCTCATTAGTTTTCCCTTTACTAC